TCATGTCCTTGAGCTTGTGTGGCAGGCATTTTGCTGACTGAACTATCTGGCTGGCCCTTCTTTTTATTTCTTTAGTCTTTAAGACATCATCTTACTGAGTTGCCAGGCTGGCCCTGACCTTTTGGTCGTCCGGCCTCAGCCTCCTAAGTAGCTGGAATTCGGACCTGAAACACCAGGCCCAGGTTCAGAAGGCATCTTTCAATGGCTTCTGGTAACCCTGCTGCCAAGGGGACTTGGTGTGGTTCTACAAAGCTTCATGCAATAAACTCTCAGGGCAGCAACTGCCGTGCCAATGCTGCTTCCCACAGCACTGAGTATGTCCCTAACTGTGCTCCTGCCTCCCTCCCAGGGCCAGCACAGGCAGGGAGGTCCAGTTTTCCTTCATCCCTTCCTCCCTCTCCCCATCCCTCCCTCTTCTTGCTTCATCCATTCCCTCCTTCCTGCCTTCCTCTCCTTCCCTCCCTTCATTCATTCCTTCCTCCTGTCTCTCCTTCTCTTCCTCCCTCTCTTCCTCCCTCCCTCTTCTCCTTTCCCCTCCCTCTCCCCTTCATACCTTTTCCTTACTCCCCCACCCACTTGTCCCTCCCTCCTCCCCTCCCTCCCTTCCTTCCTATTTTCCTTCTTTCTTGCACAGGCTTATCAAGTAATGCCACACACTTGGGTGCAGCCCCTTGGAGGCAGAAGACAGCTGGTGAATGTCAGTTGTGACCTAGAAGTTCCCGGCTGATCTGATCTTCCTCCACATTAGCTTCCTGGGACCTGCCCTCCAGGCTGGGAAAGGGAGGGTGAGCAGACAGCAGTCAGCAGGCAGACAGGTCCAGGGGGAGTGAGATAACCCGTGACTGCCCAACGATGAGATCTACAGGCATCGGAACACCCCCTTGCCTCTCTCCCTCCCCCACTCTGTGGATGGAGCTCAGAGGGGTGCATACTAATAGGAGAGGAGGTATGGGGGGAAGGAGAGGAGTTTGCTATTATTCTCAAAGCACCTAAGGAGCCATTGAAGGTTTTTGAGCAGCAATAGCCTAATCCATCTGCAGTTTATTGAGCTCATTCTGGCTCCTCAAGTTCCTTCCCCGATGTGTCTTGGGCAGAGAAGGGTCAGGAAGGACATTGAATCAGAACTGATGGGAGACACAAGTACATGTGGGGTCACAGGATGGGTAGGGCCTACTAAAGAATTCCACCAAGCTCTGGATGAAGGACTCTGAATTGCAAAGGCCAGGCATCTGGAGGAACAAAGTTAGGAGGATGGAGGTCTTGGTCCCTGCACACCTTGTCCCAAACTGCCCCCTCTAGGATCCCGATTGTGTAGCAGACCTGGGGCCTTGGGAACTAGGCTTCCTGGCCCCAAGTCATACCCATCCTGCTCCTCCATGTGCAGATTTCCGTGATAACTTGAAATTCTGCAGGGGCTGCAGAGGTCATGAGTCTCCCTCAAAGAAGGTGGGAGGGGAGCAGAATGGTTTGTGGTCCTCCCCACAGACTGGGTCCAGAACCCCTCGTACCTTTCTTCTTGAAGTCCATGTGTAACAGAGTTGTGCAAACAGAGTGAGGCTCAGAGTGGAAGTGAGTCCTATCTATGGCCATCTGGGAAGAAGGGCAGGGTTCACTCCACTTGACCCTCCCACCATGTCTGAAACCCCAAAATCCCTTCTCCTACCTGTTGTAGTCACAATGCCTATAAAGTCTGGGCTTAAGTGTCCTGCACACATTCTTATCAAGGGCTCTCTGCAGGGCCAGGGAGTACACACTTCTTTATTTCTATGGCTATGGCACAGATGGGGAAACTGAGGCTCCAAGAAAGCAAGCCATTGGTGCAGTACACTTATTAGCAAGTGAAGGCTCCCTGCCAGTGCCACCATGCTCCTCTCTTGAGGTCAATTAAGGGATGGTAAACTAACAGCTGTCTGTCAGCTTGTCTGCTGGAAAGCTCACTGCTTAAGAGACCAGTCCTGGTAAGGGAGGTAGTTTAGCCATAAAATACCTGCCCTACAAGCATGAGGACTTGAGTTCTCATTTCCAGGCCCATGTCAAAAGCTGAGTATGATAGCATGCATCTGTAGCCTGGCACTGGTCAGGTGGAGGCAGGGGTATGCAGAATCAGGTGGATCCCTGAAGCTCATTGGCTAGCCAGCCTAGCCAATTGGTGAGCTTCAATATCAGTGAGAGATGGCTCCTAAAAACAATATGGAGAGTGACTAAGGAAGATTCTTAACTTGCCTCAACACATGTGGAGGAACACATGCACATACTACAAACATTTATACACACAAGTATTAAATGAAGGATCAGCCCTCAGCAGCACAGAGTAGATGACAGAAAGTCTCCTGTGAAGCCAGCAGAGCAAGCAGCCCTGAGCACATGTCCCTTAGGCCCAAGTGTGCCTGCCACCTGGGACTTTGAAGAACCTGCTGGGCCACAGCCCACTGGGTGACATTTCATCTCCAGCGTCCTGGAAAAGCTCTTACAAACTCTAGCAACTGCTCCACGGAAGGCTGTCAGCCACTAATTAATTGATCGATTGGTGTTCAGGGCCCATTCTGCAGCCAGACTCTGGCTCAGTCTGAAATCAGGGTCGGGGCTTAGTCAATGGCAGGGCTGGGGGCTGTGTACCAAGCCAAGGTCAAGGCTGCCATCTGTGCCCAGGTCAGAGATCTATGAACAGACTTTCTGCACAGAAAGCTTCTAGGCGCTTCCAGGGGTCACTGCAACCTTGGCCTCGTTAGCACACAACTTTTACCAACCAGCTGGGCCCATCTGGCTTCTTAGTAATGCAAACATGGGTGAGGGAAGCAGGGTTCTTGGGAAGGAGCCACCCCAGGTGAAAGAGCTTGCCAGCCATGCTGTCACCTCCCCTCCTCTGCAGCCAGGGAAGTTCCTGCACTCCTCTCTCCTGTGGCTTTTGTCCCTCCCTGTGATGGCTACATTGCAAGGCTTCTACTGGTGACCAAGTCACATTTCCTGTAGGGAGGCAGGTGGGAGGACTAGCTAGGGGGGAAGGAAGAAGTCTGTGGGAGGCAGGTGGGGTAGGAAGCAGAGGGAGGGGGTGCCCGGAAGTTATTCAAGGTCCAGCTGTGCCCAGCTGTCACACCTGCTCTTCCCTTTGATGAATGAGTCTGTATGCTTCCACAGGTTTCCCAGACTACATAAAACACTCAAATCCCCTCCCCATCACTCCTGGCTCAAACACTGTATTCTCCAGGAAGCCTTCTTGGAGCCCCCCAGTGTGTACTGACCACGCCCTGCCCACCTTCCTGGTAAGAGCCATGGATAGAGAGCTTTGAACAGCCCTGTCAGACTGTTGAGGGCAGAGTCAGTAACCCCAAACTCTTGTACATATAACATATTGCAGATTAATGTTTCTTCATTGAGTGGCAGGCTAGATGGACAGAGGAATGCATGCCTGGATGAAAAGATGTATTGTGAACTCAGCAGAGTTCACAGAAAGCAGATTTTGTGCCAGAGTTTTAACAGGCAGGATGCTTGCACAGGATCTATACCTGTAGAAGTGGAGGAAAGAATCAGGGTGCACAGACTAAAGCCAAGCTCTAAGGCAACATACTGTACCTGCTACCTTGGGGAATTCTAGGGTAAGATCAGCCTCAGACATGCCCTGTAGGGGCAGGGTGCCCAGCCTGTTAGGTTCCCACACTATCAGTCACTGGGTGCAGCCTGTGTTGGGAGGGGTGTGCTCTGGGCAAGCAGCTCTCTGTGGCTGAGATAGCAACTGAAGGAACAGACCACAAAAGACTTTGGTGTTAGCACAGCTAGCCATTGAGAGTGCCAATGTTTCATCACAAGGGGAATCAGACAGCACACCATAGTGTCCTCCATAGATGGAGATGACTCAGGAGGGATGAAGGAGAAAAGCATGGTAGGTTAGATGGACAATTTGATGGTGAGAAGTTGAACTTGTAGAGGCCTGAATGCATGTATGATGGATGAATGGAAGGGTAGACAGAAAGATGGTTGGGAGAATAGGTGTCTAGATGATGGATGAATGAATAAATGGATGGGTGGATGTATGGATGCATGAATGATGGATGAGTAGATCCATTCATACATGAATTGATGGATGATGGATGGTTGGGAGTGTGATTGACATGAATGTGTGGATACACAGATAAATGAAGCTTCCCAACATCACCTGTTGAGTAGCTGACTCTCTGCTGCTCACTCAGTTCTACCCTATCTCTTGAGCAGATTCTAAGAAAGAGCTCAGACAGCAGTCTCCGCAATCAAAATGGTCTGAGTGTGACAGGCTAACTCTCTGGCATCAGTGCCAGCACGTAGGGGCTCTTGGGACTCTTGCCTAGACAATAGCAATGCCTGGAACTGTGACCACGGAAGTGCGAGTGGGATGAGTGACAGTGAAAGTACAGCAAGCACCCACACAGATGTCCTGGGGTCGGCCACCAAAGGCAGGGGCTCCTGTACAGCCCCGAGGAAGAGCAACTTGTACCTACTTGGACTGGGAGATATCTTCCTCTTCTGGCAGCAGAAACCTCCCCCCATTACATCACCCTCTCACCTGCACAACAAACAAGTTCCCCTTTATGTGCCAGATTCTCAACTGAATACCCAATTTGCCACTCTCTTCTTGGAACCCAGCCAGGAAGGGACTTTGTCAGGTTAGAGAAGAACTTTTACTGGCTACAAAGATCAGAGGCATCCACAGAAAGCTGGTAACTAGACATCAACCTTGGCTACCTGTTCAACCATGTCTTAGGCCACAGTTTCCACAGGCGACAGGAAGGAGCCAATGGGAGAGTGTGAGGAGGAGGCCCCTGTCTGGTCATGTGGACTTAGGGAGCCCTGAGGATGGCTAGCTTTCTCCTCTCTGGCTCATGCTCCCCCTAGGGTAACACACACACACACACACACACACACACACACACACACACACACACACTCCCAAATGCTTCTATGTTCTTTTTGTCATCACTCAAATCACTGACAAAACTGCTAAACAGCCCAGGATCAAGGACTAAACCCACCAGAAGTCTCCCTGTGGGTGGTTGCTGAGCCATTCACCATAATACACATGTTCCGTTCGAGTACCACCTCCACTTAGGCATGTCTCATGTCTTCTGTATTTTCTGTCTTGTTCACATACATATCAAGCAAATGTTCTGGGGGGGTCCTGAAATATGGGTGGATTATGAGGATTATCACCAAGAGCTGATGATGAGGGGGGGAAAGACAATCAACCAAGCATCATGTAACCTGATGGATACTGGGATGGCTCGTCTTCACTACTAACTTGACTATATTTGGCATCCCATAGGAGAGTTCCTGGAGGTTTAACTATGGTGAGAAGACCCACCCTCTGCTGGTAAGAATCCACCACCATGGGAGACTGAATCAAACACAGCTGAGCAGAAGCATTCCTCTAGCTCTGTTTCCCCGCTATAGATACAATGTGACCAACTGCCTTTCTCTCAGGACCACTCCTTCCCTTCCATGATAAAGTACGGAGGAACTGGAGCAAAAGGAACAGGTCCTTCTTTAAGTTGCTGTTTTGTTTTTTTGGTTTTTTTTTTTTTTAATTTTTTTTTTTTAATGAGACAGGGTTTCTCTGTATTGTTTTGGAGGCTATCAGTCCAGCCTGGCCTCGAGCTCACATAGATCCGCCTGCCTCTCCCTCCCGAGTGCTGGGATTAAAGGCGTGCGCCACCACCGCCCGGCCTTAGGTTGCTTTTATCAGATACTTTGTAACAGCAACATAAGATGTAGCTAAGTCAGTTACAGAGCACCTTTGTTGTCTTACCCACGGCTCAGACCACTCATCCCACACCACCCCCGTGTTCTGCTTGGCGGCAGGTTTGGCCGTGTAAACCACCTGCCTGTCTTAGTCTGTCTCTGTTGATATAACAAAACACCCCAGCCCAGGTAATTTGTACCAAACAGAGACGTACTTGGTTCATGGCTTGGAGGCCACAGTCTGGCACCACCATCTGACAAGGGCTTTTGAGATGTGCTGTCCCATAAAAAGAGGTAGGATAAGAGAACACGAAGGAAGGAGCCTGACCCCACCCACTCCTGTGATAATGGCCATTCCATTCTGAGCATCCTGATGACCTCATCAACTCTTCAAGATTCCATATCCCCAGCTGTTACACGGGGAATGAGTTTACCCACCCGAACCCCAGAAATGCCTTTATCCTTGGCAGGCTGATCCTGCCACTGGGAGCCAGAAGGTAGAAGATGGGAGAAGGGGCCCTTCTTGTGGATTGCTAGGCCCTGTGGTGTGCCCGTCTGGCCCTCTAGCAGCAGCAGGGTAGAAATTCCTGGCAAATCTTAGTCCCAGCTCTGACCTCTGGAATCTAACTTCCTCAACACCTCCCTGGGTCCAGTCTTACTCTCAGAGATGACAGCAGCTTGCTGTTTCCACCTTGGCTGAGGTCCTGGTATATTTCTATTGTCCACTGGAACCCTAAATGGTACTGAGCTCTACCAGAACCAAACCAAACCAAAACTTTACCTTGATCAAATGGTCAGAGCCAACCATCACTATAAGTCGAAGTTGGTGGCAATTTGTTATGCAGCAGTAGATAGGAGTCCAGGTGTGGTGATGGCATGATTGGGCTGGGGGGATGATGCACAGTGAACTGTTTTCTTAGTATCTAGAATTTGTTTCAAAATCCTTGGGACTGGGGTGGAGGGAAAGAGGTTAGGAGTGCAGCAAGGTTTCAATGACTTGAATCTGCTGAAAGTGGAGGGTGAGGACACACTGCCTTCATTGTGGCTTTCTTTCTTTTTCTTCCTTTCTATGATTAAAGAGATTGACATCTTATTCAAATCCCATAACACTGCTAAGGAACTTCAGTAATTTGATAAGACTTGTTCTTAACAAGTCAATGCCAAGTTTTGATCACATTGCCCTCTTTCCCAGAAAGGAGCCCCGTGAAGCACAAGTCCTTGTAATGTCTTCCACAGAGAAATGTCGTCCTTCTTAGCACCAGAAGTTTTTGTCAGCCTGACATAACCTAGAGTCATCTGGGAAAGGGGACCTCAACTGAGAAAAGGCCTCCATCAGATGGGCCTGTAGGCAACTCTGTGTGGCTTTTACTTGATTAGTGCTTGATGTGGGTGGGATCCCTGGGCAGGTGGTTCTTATATAAGGAAACAGGCCAGACAAACAATGGGGAGCAGGCCAGTAAGCAACATCCTTCATGGCCTCTGCTTCTTTCCTGTCTCCTTGTTCCTGCCCAGGACAAGTTCTTGCCTTGCTTCTCTCAATAACGTACTGGAATCTGAACATGTAAATCAAATTAACCCTTCCTTCCTCAACTTGCTTTGGGTCATGGTGGTCACCACATCGACAGAAATCCTAACTAGGACACATATTTTTCATCTTCTGGGATTGGTGTTACAATTTTAAAAATGGCATGAGAGAGAGTCATGCCATACAACAGGGCTCACATAGGAGGTTTATTGGAAGAGGAGAGAGAAAGGGACAGAAAAGGAGTCAGAAGGGCAGACGAAGATCAGTCGCTGGGGACAAGAGTAGTGGGAGGGGGGGGAGAAAGAAAGAGGTAGAGAGACAGGAGGTGGGCAAGGCCCACCTTTTAAAAGGAAATGTAGCGAATGTGCACATGGGGTGCTCTTAGTGGCTGAAGCTGAGGACCTACCCTGTCAGGACCCCCAAGGTCAGGCCAGTACACTAGTAGGGGAACAGCCCACACCCAGACTATCTTACACTACCACCTCTCAAAGACAGGACATGGGATTAGCCTCCACTCTATTCAGTCTGCAGTTCAAAGCTCACTTAGAGCATCAGGGAAGCACAAGACACTCTTTCTCTTCTTTCTTTTCTTTTTGTGCTGGTGCTCAAACTTGGGGCTTTGTACAGGATGTCTGAGACATTCACCAAGCCCTTCACTGGTGGCGTCTATGCAGACACTCTATCACTGTGCCCCTTACTGGTATATTCTCAGCAAACACTCTACTACTTACAGACACCTCCAACCCCAACACACTTCCTTCTCCTCACCTCTCCTTCCTTCTCCTCCGTGGTCTATGAATCAAACAGAGGACATGGTGCACCTTCAAAGGCACTCCACTCTTTTGCCCATTTTTCCTGCTTTCTTGCCTTGCCTGTGTTTCACTGATCCCAAAAGAAGGTACAGGAGTAAACATGGAGATGAATATGTCTGTCCTGTTCACCTAGAAGCTATTCTGCAGCCTTCCACAAGTACTGCTGAACCATATAAGTGGAGAAATGAGAATCCAAGAGCACAAGGCCAACTCCATAATGGGCAGTGGAAAAGTTGAAGCAAAATGCACTAAATAGAGCAGACAGTCGTTTGACATGGATAAAAGTTATGGCCAGTAATGAAGCCATTGTCAGGACCATGAACTTTAATGTGCCAGAGACGAGAGTGTGGAATATATTAAGCACAGACTCTTAGAAGTGTGAGCAGCAACTGGCAGAGCCTCAAAGACAGTGGAAGATTATAGCTCACCCCCTTCATCCATGTAAGACCAGGAAAACAAACCTCAACAAAAGAGATTCAAGTCTATGGCCTAGGGGTAACTTACAAGACCCTGCACTTGTAGTTCCCAAACAACTAAGCCTGTATTTTGTTTAGTTTTGTGTTTATGTTTTTGAGACAGAATCTCACTGTGTAGCCCTGGCTATCCTGAAGCTCAGTATGTAGACTAGGTTGGCCTCCAACACACTGACATCTGCTTGCCTCCACCTGCTTTCTCATAGAACCCAGGACCCTCAGCCCAAATATGGCACGACCTACGATGGCCTGGACCCTCCCACATCAATCACTGAGAAAATGCCCTACAGGCCTACCTTTATTGGGGCAGCTTCTCACTTGAGGTTCCCTCCTCTCCAGTGACTCTAATTCATATCAAGTTGACATAAACTTAGCCAGCCAGCACAGGTGCTAACTTTCCTTCATTCTCCTAGAAAATGATGGCACTGAGTTTGCCCAGCCCCCTAACCCTACTGATAAGCTCATAATAGACATCAATCAAAGTACTTTGTTCTCTTCCCATAGTCATTAGTTCAAGACAACCAAGGGCTAGGGAGACAGCTCAGCGGAAACAGTACTTACTGCACAGTGTGAGGACTTGTGATAGATTCCCCAGTGCTGACATGAAAAAGTCATCATCCTAGCACTGGGGAGGCAGTCAGGAGGATCCCTAGGGCTGGCTGTCCAACCAGTCTCGCTGAACTGATGAGCTCCAGGTTCACTGATAAAGCATGGAATGACTGAAGAAGACAAATCTCTGACTTTCACATCTACACACACACACACACACACACACACACACACACACGTGTGTTCACCTATGCACACACTAATGCATACATATATATGTACATGCACACAGAAGTAAGTAAATAATCTCACAACCCAATTCAGTCAATAACATGTTTCCTAGGACCTCTAGTCTAGGCTGGACATCCTGCTTGACTTGAACTCGGGAACCTAAGAAATTGGGAGCAGCAGCCAGAAGCCTGGGTGTGGCTAAATGAATGGCCAGGAGCTGGAGAGATTTCTCAGTGGTTCAATTCCCAGAACATCTATAATAGCTTACAACCATCTGAAATTCCAGTTCTAGGACATATGGCACCCTTTTCTTCAGGCACCAGCAAACAAGTGGTTCATAGACACACAAGGAGACAAAGCACCCTCACACACAAACTGGTTAAAAAGAGAGGAATATCCACATGAGAAAGGGGCCATCATGGGCTCTCATGATGCTGTTTGAGCTCCTAAATCAAACCACTCTTCCCGTTTAATCCAAATGAAATTAAGTTTGATTTTGCCTAAGGGAACTTCTAGCCAACGCCTATCTCTTCTCCTTGAACCAGCCCTTTCAGGCCCCAGGGCACTAGACACACTTCTTCTCTTTTTTATTCCTCATTTATTTAAGATTCAATGTCACAAATTTCTGAGAATTTTTTCTCTAGAGTTTACCAACCTTTTTATGAGCAATCTTTCTCTCTAGAGGGCTAAGCCATGGATCGTTTGTATGTCATCTGTTCATGGAAGCCCTCAGTCCCTTCTCTCTTTCAGGTAGTTTAAAATCTGTCCTCTGAAACTTTATACCTGTTGGTTGATTCATATTAACTTTCATGAACTTGTGTGTGTGTGTGTGATGGGTACATCACACACTGTATGTGGAGTCCAGAGGACCACTTTGGTGTTATTCCTAGGGAGCTGTCCAATCTGTTTTTCTGAGACAGGGTTCCATTGACCTGGAGCTTGCTGGCCAGATTGGTGGGTCAGCCAGCCCCAGGGATCCACCTGACTCTGCCTCCATAGCAATGGAGTGAATACTACCATATGCAGCTTTTTATTGCTGGATTTGAACTCAAATTCTGAGCCATTTTCCCAGTACCCTTGATGACCTTTTTACAGCTGGGCACAGGAGGGACGAGAGGGGTGGTGGTTGCCACACTGATGATTGCCAGCTTACAATGAGGCTGCATGGTGCCTATCTGTTCCATAACCTTCCCAAACAGCACCACTGCCTGAAGAACAAATGTTTAAATATATGAGGCTGTGTGGGGCAGTTATGATGCAAACCAACACACACACACATACACACAGTGGGTGGGGTTAGCTCATGTTTCCTGAATCCCTAGGCTCACCAGCAAACCCTGCAGCAATATTTGTCTACCCCACTGAATGGTTACACCTTTAAGTACTTGGACTGACTCCCTCAAATCTCTGCATGGTACTTTCAGTAGAGGTGTAGTGACATCTGCGTATTGGTAGCACATTGTCCATGGGGAGCTTTTCATGTGGGAAATCCCCACCATCCTCACCACCCTTTGCTGAAGCAGAGTCTTGCCTCAAGCTCCAGATCCTCCTTCCTCGGGCCCCTGAGTGCTAGAATTACAGGCATGTGCCACCACACTCAGCTCAGGAGCCCCCATCCTAGCAAGGAGTTCTAAACTAAATGCCCAGGCTCCCTTACCCCTAAATACAGGCACATGATTTGACTCTGCCAAAAAAACACTTCCCTGAAAGTCAAGGATGCAGAGCTGAACCCA